TCACAAGATCAATAAAGAAAAATGGCTTTTTTACAAAATTTTATTGGGGAAAAAATTTCTAGAACATTGTTTGTTACACATCCCGATTTAGCAAAATTCCTGACTGTACTAACTACAAATACTTCATTATTTTGTTTTTTTTGACACGATTGATTTTTTTTTTTTGGAAAAACAATTTATTTTTTACAAGACAAGAAAGTGTAAATGTTGTTGTTGTTTGGTATGGCTGGTTCAATATGGAATTTCCAAATACTGTAAGGATAGACAATCTAGAAATCTTTTATATATATAAAAAAAAAACAAAACAAAAATAATTGGCTAATTTTATGCAGATCTTTTATTTGAAAAAAAATTGATAAATAAAATAAAAATAATGCTTTTTTAAGCATAGTGGACATTCGTTTTATCACTTGTGACAAAATTGATCATCAATCTTTTTTATATTGTGAAACTTGCTATTCCAATTGAATTTAGAATAGGAAAAAGTTGCGTGACTGCGCACAAAACCCATTTTATGGAAAATCTATTTTTATATCAATATATCACTTTGACTTTTCTTTATATTTTGGTAAAACTTGATCAATTTGATCAATTTGATTTAAGGATACTGGCTGCAACTTTTGATGATGGTTGCTACCATATTTGCGTCATATAAAACGATTGCAACCACTGGTTGCAACCACCTTTACCACCATTTTGTTTCCTTTTTTGGATTGCGACATGGAACACTAATTTGATTTCAATAAGTTACCTTAGAAGTAAAAGTTTAAGGCTTCTGTGATCTTGTCCATCAAAATTGTGTCATTATTATTATTATTTATTATCATTATTTAAATTTTTTTTTTTTAAATATGAATGATAACATTTTACTTATTAATAAGTTATTATTATATTTGCAGGTAAAGACTTATTCTATATTCTCATTATTATTATACTTTAAAGAAATAAGTATTTATTATATATATTTGATTAACTTATAACTTATATTCAACTTTTTCCAATAGTACAAAGATCATATAATAGGTTGTATCTTGATTTTTTATGATGCATTTAAAAAACAAGAAGGATTTTTAAACAACAATAACAGATAGCATGGTGGACATTCAAATATCGCATAAAATGTTACACAGATTATTTATATTGTTTAAAATAATCAACCAGTCCCATCAATTAAAGTGGATACAAGTGTACTAATTAACAACCATTCAAAAATTCAATATATTATTCTCCTAGTTGTTTTATATGAACTGTCAAAAGATCACAGAGAAGATCACACTTTTCAAAATTGCAATCTATTAAATGCTGCCTAAAAATCAATTCTGCAATTACTGTAAAGAAGAAAATTCTCAACATTTAGAAATGTTACTGAAGAGGCTAAGAAAAAAGCTAACAAGGGAGAATTTTTTGTAAACATTGGTGATTCTCTTTGTTCAAATTGTTATAATTGTGTGGTGCAATTATACATGCAGCCCAAAGTATTTTGACACTGTCATAAAGGGGGTTACATGTGCAGTAAAGGGGTGTTACACTTATGTTTTTAATAGTGAATGCCGTAATTAATTTCTACTTTCTACCATCAAAATTGGAA